GGTGCCGGGCGCTGGTGCTGGGTGCTGGGTACCGGTGCTGGGTGCTGGTGCTGGGCGCCGTGGGGTGGCGCGCCGGTGCTCGGTGCTGGTGTGAAGGGCGGCCAACCGCCGCTTCTGACAGTGAAGTGCCAGCAGTCATGGGCCGCATGAACTTATATGCGCGCAACATCATACGGTGTTGTCGTTTGAACGTTCTTTGTCTATTAGCGCTGTGGGGTATTTACACTCTTCAGGTTCTGTTTTGGCCGACAGCTGTGTCAAGGGCTGTACTGTTTGCGCGCACACTTTTGTACGTATAATGTTCTATGCGCAACGTCAGGCTCCCAACCGTGCTGGATAGTCCTTGGCGGCGCCTAGCTTTTGTGAGCCACACAAGGGTCAAATTTAGAGGAGGCAGGTGCAAACCTTTTGTGAGCCACCCGGGAGTCCGGGAGTAGATTTAGACGAGGAAATTGCAGGTCCGACGGTCCAGACCTTTAAATTCCAGCGCTTGCTCTCAGTGCTGGGATGCTGACTATAATCTGTTTTCATTGCGGGGGAGGCGCTACGCCCTCCCCCACGCCCCCTCCCGCTTTTTTAATTTAGGCGATTGCTACGGGACGGCCAAGCCTAAGCAATCAAGAACGCCCATCTCATCAAACACTTGGCTACTACCCATGACAACTTGAAACTTGGAGACGCAGTGCAACTTGTTCCCGGCAATTGTTTGGTTCAAAGCAGCGCTCGCCTTGAAATTCAGGCGGTTGCTTCGGTGCCGGGTTGCTGACTATACTTGGTTTTCATTGTGGGGGAGGCGCTGTGCCCTCCCCCGCGCCCCCTCCCGCTTTGTTAATATACACGATTGCTACGGGACAGCTAAGTACCAAAACCACAATCTTCTTTGCATTGAAAACGCCACAAAGGTGGATGATAAGGCTCGCCTTCGCATTGCTGTGACAACGCTACAAAGAGGTTTCAAGGCTTTAGCTGTTTATCTTCGGTGTTAACATGAACATGTCTGATGACACATGACCTGCAAAACCCCACAATGGTGGAGGCTGAGGGCCACTTCAACCACACCCAGCTTTCAACATAGCTTCTTTCCGCACTGTTCTATCCATTTTCCACTATCTACCTATGCATCTAACTATCTACCCATCCATCCATCCGTCCATCTATCTATCTATGAATCGATCGATGTAACTACCTATGTAACTATCTATCTATCTATCCATCTATCTATCTATCTATCCATCTATCTATCTATCTGTCTATCCATCTATCTATCTTTCTTACTCTATCTCTGTCTCTATCTCTATCTCTATCTGTATGTCCCTACCTACCTACCTACCTCCCTCTGTCTATCTATCTATCTGTCCTTCTGTTTATCTATCTATCTATCTATTTATCTATCTATCTATCTATCTATTTATCTATCTATCTATCTATCTTTCTATCTATCTATCTTTCTATCTATCTATCTATCTTTTATCTATCTATCTATCTGTCTATCTATCTATCTATCCATCTATCTATCCATCTATCTATGTATCTATCCATCTATCTATCTATCCATCCATCTATCTATCTATCTATCTATCGATCGATCTATCTATCTATCTATCTATCTATCTAATCAATCTATCCATCTATCCATCTATCCATCTATCCATCTATCTATCTAACTAACTAACTAACTATCTAATCTATCTATCTGTCTGTCTGTCTATCTTTCTGTCTGTCTGTCTAACTAAATAACTAACAAACTAACCAACTAACTAAATAACTAACTAACTAACTCACTAACTAACTAACTAACTTATCAACCTATCAATCTATCAATCTATCAATCTATCTCTCTCTCTCTATCTCTCTCTTTCTCTCTCTCTCTCTCTATCTGCGCTTCCAAGTTCACAAAGTGCTGCCACGAAATTTACACTTCAAGGTCCACAAAGTGCCGCACCTACCACGAAATCTGCACTTCAAGGTCCACAAAGTACCGCACCTGCCACGAAATTTTCATTTCAAGGTCCACAAAGTACTGCCCTTTCCACGAAAAACGAAAAATCAAACAAATCCTACATTAAATCCGAGCCCTTTCTCAACCTCGTCAAAACTAAGGTGCTCCGCTGCATCCCATGCGGCATCCTTCAAACGGCTTATGACCAGAAACGTTCCCCCGACAGCAACTTCTCGTCCTCGTCTGGTGCACTGTCGCTGAAACAACTCAAGTCTGCGCCTGAAGCTCCTGTAGCTCTTCTGGTTCAGGTTGTCGGTGGACGGACATGCTTTTGCCAAACCTGAATCAAGTCCCTTGCTCTGCGAAGACGAAGAAAAAGGAACGCCCGGAATCTGAAGTCCAGGGTCATCAAGCTCGACGTTCGTGAACAGTCCTCCTCCCACAGCTCCGGGATTCCCGGGTGCGTGCTCTACGGACAGATGTCCTTCGTGGACTCCTCTCCACGCCGGACAGCCGGACATGTGGAGCTTATTCTCAACTTTCCGAAGGAAAACGAAGGTCTCTCCAATCTAAAAGATCACCGAAGACACCGTCAACCTGGAACGTCTTGAGCTCCGCTACCAATCTGGTTGTACAGGTTCCCGCAAACGAAGTCGGTCCCGCCTATTTTCCTCCAAGTCGATCGATTGGGCCGCAAGCCAAAACACAAACTACCGCAATGTACGACATGTACCTGCAAGTGAAAACTTGCATGGAGACGGGCAAAAAATCTTTTTGTTTTGAGCTTGCCACAACTTTCTCTGGCCACCCTTGTCACACACGATCTTCATACGTGCTCACAAACATCCATGCTCCATTCGGCTGAGCCAGATGCATCGAATCTGTCTCTGGGTTGTAGTGTGGGCAGCCGTTTGCTGCATTCTGTCAGCACGTTCACCACGAGCAAAGCTCATTCGCTCTCGGGCGTGTGGATCCTGTTCTTCATTCTCAGGACTTGTAGTGATTCGTCTTCAAGAGTCTTCTGGTCCTTGGCACGCATATCAATGTGGATGGCATTGCCCTAGTAGGGATCACAAATTGCAAATTGATGGCGTATCAAAGGCGTTTTGCAAGTGCCATGTACAATGCACATGCTGTTTTCTATCATGCTTGGGAAAAGGGTAACGTAAAGAGAAGGTTGTGCAAGCTGACTGCGCAGAGTATCTCGTATCATTACAAGACTGGAAGCTGCAAAAGCTCGAGTGACTTTTGCTCTTGACTCTCATGAATTGAGTTGCCCGCGCAAGTGAGATCACCTGCTGTAGCGCGCATAGAACATCCGTGCCTGCCACTCATGCAGCTAGTAAGTACATATCAGTAAATGATAGTAGGAAACGCATTCCTGGACAACCTATATACTATATACAGAACCTATTTGACCTCTATTTCGATAGGACCCTATAGCGTTTCAGTTTCAACCCAATCACGTCAAAGGTTTATCCACCTTCAGTCACGGACAAGCACTTAGAACAAATTTAGATAAATTTAGTAAACATGAACTTGTTTTGTTGTAAGTGATGTTTCTTTTCCAGCTCTCTTTCTTGTTTGTTTTTCACCGATTTGTTCTAAGTGGCTGTCCGCCACTATAATTTACGCAACAGCCACACGACAGACAGACTCCAGGTTTTTAAATCAATCTTGGTCTACCTAAATATGTATGTATATATATATATACACACATGTGGCTGTGGGGCTGTGGGCTGTCCTGTTGGTAGGACGAAAGCAGGCCAAAGCTTCTGGAGGCACAGTTTGTATTACTGTAGATGTGCACACGCACAGGATAGTGGTGCCCTAGAGTGCTGATTCCAAGTCTCATCAACTTTCTACTGCTTTAGACACTTTATGATCCGGCATTAGACCTGGACCTCAATCTATCAGTCGGTGGCCCAAGGGAAAGGATAGGAAAGGCAGGAAAGGACAAAGAAGGGAAAGGAAAGGAACGGAGAAGGAGAAGGAGAAGGACAAAGGACACGGACAAGGATAAGGCAAGGACAAGGACAAGGACAAGGAAAGGGAAGGCAAAGGAGAAGGAAAAAGCAACGGAAAGGAAAAGCGAATGAGAAGGACCAGGAAAGGAGAAGGAAAGGACAAGGACAAGGAAAGGAAAGGGAAGGGAAAAAGAGGAGACGAAACGGAAAGGAAAAAGAAAGGAAAAGGAAACAGAAGGACCAGGAAAGGAGAAGGAAAGGAGAAGGAAAGAAAGAAAGGAGAAGGGAGAAGGGAGAAGGGAGAAGGGGAAGAGGAAGAGGAAGAGGAAGAGGAGGGAGGGAGGGAGGGAGGGCATAGACGCCAGTGGGCCAAAAGGGAGGAGCAGTGGAGCCAAGTGCTTGGGCAGCTGAGATTCTGTCAGCGTTCCGAACTGAACCTTTACAGCTTTATTGCGAAACACCGCAGGAGAACTGCAGCGTGTAGGTGATATCAATATGAAGAACTTCGTTGGATGGAGTCTCATATGTCCTCTCCATCCCCTGATCTGAGTTCCTGAAATGCTCCGGAAATGGAGCGGTGTGAAGCCCTGGCTAATTCAGAAAAGGACACCTAACACTGTGCAATGAGAGGGCCCTTGGAAAACCCAAAAAACACACACACACACCCACCCACCCACCCACCCACCCACGCACGCACACGCACACGCACACGCACGGCCGCACACGCCCGCGCAC